CAAATTTTGGTGCAATTGATTTTTTGTTATTTGAGGTGGATGGGTGCTACATTGTAATTTTTTAATTATTAATTAAAAAATAGTTTAAACTAATTAAAATAGTTATTTATAATAAAGGGTGTGGTCATAATAAATTTATAAAAATGACTAGTTAATAGAAATTATATTATTTAAATATATTTTGATTAACTATTTTGGCTAACGTGTTTGGAGTTGCTCTATGCTTGTGTGTTTTATAATGAGCAATGATATGTGGACTTAAAAAGTAGACTTTTACTACCTATTCAATAATTGTGATTATCAAATTTACTTTTTAAATCTAATTTTTAAGTTCATATAGTATTACTTTTTTATAATTATCTATTTATGCGGTTAATTTAGGTAAAATTATAATATAATTTAGGGTCAATCAGGAATTATAATAATTAGGTTTCTCAATTGTGTCCCTATTGGGTAATAATATGTTTTTGTCAAAAAAATACCACTTATAATTAATTTGTTTATTATTCGTGTCAAAAAAATTGTACCAAATTAAGTTTGTTTGTACCATTTTTTTTTCGATAGCACAACAATAATAAAAATATTCACAACAATAATAAAAATACTTACAAAAATAATAAATATAAAAATTAATTTATTATAGTACCGTAGTCAAGTCCAATTATATGCACTGGATAGATTGGTCCGCTGCAATGAATGAATGGTATGCTGATTTTACACCACTCAAATATAGTTGACATCCTCCAGCGGTCCCAGTTTGAAATAATGGACTTAGTTCAGGCGTGCAGCATGGACCCATGAAACCCTAAGCAAAAAGTGTCCACATTGGAAGTGGACTTACTATACACTTTGGCAATTTATGGATGCATTGGACTGAATTAGATTTAAATTTCAAATCAGTCTAATGAAATTTCAATGAGCCGGATTTGTAGAGGGATAAAAGTAATTTGTGTTATCCAATCCCTGCTTTAGATAGTGATGTATGATGTGGTTAAAATATGGACAAACTATAATTTTTTATTGAACATCTAATAACTTTGACATTAATTGATTATTTTAACCTTTAATCCTATTCAATCCTATCTCATTTTTAGCTTGAGAATTGTTGATTATCACTTTAATATTGTGAAAAATATAAGAATGCTTATGTATTGTAAAATTTCAACTATTACACGGTGATTTTAGAATACAAGTTAATTCCAGCACGTCTAGTGCTCGATCCCTGTTTACAAATCCTGTTATTATCGAATTCCATGAGGATGAATTTGGGTTTGGCATATTCAACAAAATTTCAACAGCATCTTCTATGTTGCCAAACTGACCAATGTCATTCATAAGCTCGTTGTATGAGATTGTATCCTGGTTTGGCATTTGATGGAAAAATCTGAATGCATCTTCCAGTCTTCTGTTTCTTCAAGTCTTCTATTTCTAGCAGCTGTCGCGGTCACCGAATTCCAAGTTATAACATCCTTATCAATCATCTCGGAGAACACACGAATGGCCTGCAATACAGATCCGCATTTTCCATACATGTCAATCAAGCAATTTGAAACTACCATACTAAACTCCACACCAAATTTAACAGTCTGGGAGTGAATTGACTTTCCTAATTGCAATAAACTTAGTTGGCCACAGGCAGCCAAAGCCGCCGTGAATGAGAACGAATTCGCACGAACCTCGTAACTTTCCAGCTGAAGGAACAACCTTAAAGCCTTACTGAAATACCCAGAATGCACGTACCCAGAAATCAAAGAATTCCAAGAGACTACAGTTGGTTCAGGAATTTCAACAAACAATTTGTGAGCATCATTCACTGACTCAAATTTCAAAAAGAAATTGATCAGAGCAATGGTGACCAAGGCATTTGAAACAAACCCAGATTGGAGAATGTGGCAATGAAGCTTTTTTTTTCTATATATAGAATATATATGTATGTATATATCTACATTGAAATATATATATATATATATATATATATATATAGAGAGAGAGAGAGAGAGACATTCGGCAACCACAAACCAATGAGCGCTGTTTGCTGTTTGCTGTAAGAGGGGACCAGCCTGAAGAAGAGGAGACAAAATGGGCTAAAAACCCCTAGATTATGGTACTGTTGGAGGGCATTTATGTAAATTCACTGTATATCCTATTGTTGGGCTGACTAATCCTAAAGTTCAAGTGGGATAATGGAGTCTGGTTCAGGCGGGATAAAAGGCAGATTTCATGCAGGCCGAGTAAATCAAGCCCAACGAGTATCCCACGAGCAAATGTTGATCCAAACAAGGGATACGTGAACCCCCAGAATATATTACCCAATCTTACTTGTTTTATCCCACTTTATCAAGAAAAACTACCTACCTCCATTTCACAACTAACTGAAATCTTATCATGCCCCGTTAAAGCGCATAGTGACTCCGGGTGGGGGATGTATGCTCTTAGGTGTGCCAAGGCAAGAAAGCTAATAGAGATTCTTTCATAGAAGCTTGACAGTCAGCAACACATCAATGAAACGGTGAGACTGTTCTAACTCGTGGTAGTACTCTACAAGCTCTTAAGGAGGCTCACAACAGAGGAGTTTTGAGTTTTGTCCCGCTCCGACTAAAGGGGCGCAGAGCACAAATGATTCCTTGATGAAAAACAGAAAGCATGGCTATTCACATTATGAAACTAGAATCCTTGAATTGCTTGTGATGGCAATCGATTTCGTTGCTTCAACAAATTTGCCATTCGTTTAAGAAATGCAACAAAGTGAATGACATGATATAGCAATAATAGCAACAGAATATAGTTTGTTTGTTTGTTAAGGCAGAATATAGTCGCTAAGGCATTTGTTTGTTTCCCAGAACTTCAAGGACTACTTACAGACGATCAGCATCCATGGTTTCATCCCAATCAAAACAACACCGGAATTCTCCATATAGATGAAGGGAAGTCACAAAAAGAAAATGCAAGTTGATTCCTGCCAAACATATCAACCTCCTCGCATATGTGCGCCCAATTCACCAAACTGTTCATCAGCTTCTACAGTGTCCTCCGAAAGGCGAACTGCATCCAGTTTTTGTTTGAGAATTTCAATTGCATTGAGCACCAGCTGAGAAGCTTTGATTGCGCCAGTAGATTCAACTGTGAATATAAAACTGTCTTCTCTGGCATGTATTTCCACAAGTCCTGGCTTACCCATTGCTTCTGCTTTCTTGATCACTTCATCATCATAAGTGTATGCCTCAGGATCAACCACCAAAACCTGGGATAAAATACTTAGCAATCACACCGGATACATTAACAACATATCAAATGCACTTTTTGGAATCTTAAGCACAGTGGAATAAACATCTAAACAGAACCCCACAAAAATAATACTAAATATTACCAGTCAACATCCTCGTTTAATTTGGAAGAATCTTCACACTCATGGCATCCCTGAACTAAAATATAGTGAATTACTTAATGAATGACAGAGCCAGATTCCACTCCTCCACTTTGGGGACCGACTAATCCCAAAATTGTGCACGCTGGAACTTAGATTTTCCAAGATTAAGAAGAAATTCTAGGCTGAGAATCCACAACAGAATCCACATCCAAGAAATTGCATTTATGCTCGCTGCTACCATCGTAGGCAAATCTGAAGCTTATGGTGTCGAGCAGCCTAAGGACTGTTTCCCAAGAGGTAGGAGGCCCAACTGGCATCAGTTCCATAGGATTAACACACCTCACTTAAAAATTAAAGTTCATATAATGTAGACAAAGTAGCCATTGAGTCCATAGTTTAAGTTGTTTGCCCCTTGATTTGATTCCTTTTCTATGTATGAATGTTTAGACAACTGAATTCCCCGTTGTCTTGCTGTTGATGGAAAGAGAGATGCCACCAGAAGCCATTAAAAGTGCACCTAAGGACAAAATTCTCCCTAAACATTTCAAAACTAAGTCTTTTCCTATCAAGTAATAAATACTAGGTAACACTATGGAGGGCATGTGCAACATTGGGCAAAAAATAGGACTCTCTTCGAGAGCAGACATCACGAACGAGGCTAAACTCAGTTTGTCCAGTTAGCATCAATCCCTCGAGGAAGTATTTGACCGGAAATCATTTTCATCTTTGTCTGAAGATTGGGAGTTTCTCTTCCGCTGAAGTGATGGGCCTGTCGGGGACAATGGTTCGCCCTCTCTTCTAGTTCAAGGAAATTTTTACACCTCTTCCCCTTTTTCCTCTTTGTTCTGTCTATTTATGTCCTTTAATTATTATGCAAGGACTGGGTGTTCAAAGAGAAGAAGAGGTCAGCATAGGGATTATGCAACCAGATAGGTAAACAATAGCAAATGTTGAGTTGGACAGTCAGAAGTATGATGTTTTAACCAATTTTTTTGCCATCATAAATTGAAAAGGTGCAATACGTTTAAAAACAGATTCAGAGATCTTGCTTTTGAAAAAGTGAATACCTAAAAAAAATTCTTATATTACAACATTTGCTTATTTCCAATCTTTTTGTGGAGATGCTTTTAGACAATGAAAAATACATGCATTTGTTCACGCTCTCAACCCTGAGTTTATGGGGAAGTTGCTTATAGCATTCATCCAAAAACAAGAAGAAAAAACAATGAAAGCAAGCCCTTATAAATCCATTAGTCAATCCTTCCTGCAGGTAAAGAAGTGTGCCTATGCATCAAATATCATCTAAATTTCAGATCCTATGACTGAATGCATAGCTAAATTGTTGCTATGTACTCGCTTCTTCCTTTATATCTCAGCATAAATGAAGTGTCAATGAAACATACTAAGCACAACATTTTTGACCCAGCACGAGAAATTCATGGAGTGTATGTTTCATGGAGTGTATGTGTCTACTACCAGTATGTCCGCCTCCACCCATGTCGTGCCGGCCAGAATTACACAAATTTTGATGTACCCACAAGTAATTTCCCTAATGCACTTGAAACTCCAGAAGTTCAGTAAAAAAATAGTAGGGTAAAAAATGTGAAAATGCTTTCTAATGCATAAACAATATTAAATGTCGTGTTACCTTCGAAAAAAAACATCAATAAGATTTTGCAATTTATTAAGGTTAAATGTCAAAGGTACTTGCAGAAATTTTTAAGAAACAAAAGCATCGTGAATAAAAGCGAACATGATAGATTAAACCCTCCATCCAAAGAAAACTCCGAAGCGAAGCAACTTTTGGAAGTCCATGAAGAATGCACAAACATATAAAAAAACATAGAAGAAAGCAACATATATATAATCTAACATAATATTCAAACCCTCAACCCAAGGAAACCACCGAAATGAATAATCAAACTAATTTTAACTAACCTGCTTGGTATTAGGATCAATTGCAAACACCTTGGTCGGACTACTTTCAACAAAGCTTTCCTTCTCCTCCAATGATAGAGTCCCCATCTTATCCTCATCGATATGGATCTCAGGCTCATACATAAATGTAACAGTTGCTGCGGGGGACCATTTAGCATGATCTTTGCCAATACCTTTTCGTGCTATGGCTCTCAGCCTCAACTCTTGGCCACGACGTAGCTTCACAATTATAATCCCCCTAAATACAAAACAAGCCATCACATGCTGTCAAGTTATCACAAAATAAGTTTCCTGCTAATTACATTAACCAAGATTGAAACTAGGCTGCTCAAAAAAATCCCTAACTGATCTATTATACAGCAATTTAAAAAAATAATAAAACAATTTCCCGTCAGCCATCAGCCATCAGCATTAGAAGTAAAATGCCATAAAAACCAGATTGTATTGTTTTCACCTCCATTTGTTGCTCAGTTTTCGTCATTCGGTTCCTATAATAAAAAACAATCAACACTCCAAACACAAGCCCCGGTGCCCAGGCCGAGAGGCCTCCCTTACCCCAATACAAACTGAGCTTAGTTCTCCACTTATTGAACATCAAAACACCCAGGGGAACAATAATAACAATGATAAGGTTCACAAACCCAGCTTCCTTGCTTTTCTGTTAACATTTTCAACATGGTTAGGCCCCATTTGGCCGCCAATATTTGTCCATATGTATAACCGATGTGGTAATTAGTCAAACTGGTTTTCTTCTCAGGAAATCATACACATGAAGTTCATAAGGACACAATTAACCATATATCATTCCCATTTCCTTCACTTCCTCAGCAACCTTTGATGAGAAACAATAGTCATGCATTATTCCTTCTCTTTCTTCTCACCTTTCCCGAATAAATAGACAGTGTTCGGAAACGCTAAAAACCCTCGCATGGCTGCATTACTATAAAAACAGAAGGAAAATAGATGAATCTCATAAACCTTCATCAATTGCATCTTCATTACAGGAACTAAAACCCAATATAATAAGAATTTCTATGAGCATAAATATAAAATACACGACTTTCATAACATCACAACCAGAGATAGATAGATAAATAGATAGAGAAACTAACTTATTCTCAGTATTGTCGAAGCCGGAGCCAGCGGAATCGGAGAAATCAACCGGAACAACAGTGTGGTCAGAGCTGTATAGATCCTTGCTAGTGACATCTAGAGTTTGGTCATTCATGCACTTGGCCCTCAAATGGAACTCAACCGAGCAGTACTCGCACTGGCCGTCACCGTCGCAGGCGTCACAGTCACGTGAGAAGCGCATGCTCATGGCTCGTTCGCTGGTGAGTGGGATGAGACCGAGCCTGTGTGAGATGAACTCGTCGTTCAGCACCGACGAGTTCACTTCAATTTCAACCAAATCGATCGCAATTGTAGGGACCTCCGCTATCATCACCCGCCGGAGCGCATTGGCCATGCTAGCGTCAGTGTCTCGGAGTTCAAACTTCGCGTAATCGTCCTTCAACTCTCTGATCTTTACCGTTGGAAATCGCTGGTACGATGCTCCTTCCATCTCTCTCTCTCTCTCTCTCTCTCTCTCTCTCGCCACTCTCTCTCTGTCCGAGGGTTTTCTCTCTGTCCGAGGATTTGATGGGTCTAAACCCCGCGTGAGAATTGGGGATTCGGCAATTTCTGATTTGGGCTCAGGCCCAGGCCCAGAGTACCCGAGACGGTCCACCAGAATAAAGAAACTTTGGCCTGAATAACACTTGGGACCCCTAAACAATATTTAAATTTTTAGTTTTTCCTCAAAATGATTAAAATTCTCTAATTACAAAAACAACCATCTAATTATCCAAAATCAAATATCTGTTTCTTTTTTCGACAATTTTTTATATTGTAGTTTCTATATTGAATAAATTTATTTATATATTAACCAAAAAAATTATATGTTACTTAATTAGAGGTATTTTATATTAGAATTTTATACCTACTTCTATTAAAACCTACTGCATTGCTATTTTTTATGATTGAAGACCCACATTTTAATCTTTTAAGGTTTAAATGAAAATTTGGAAGGTGAAAATTGTTGACAATTTAGTATTCAACGTTTACAATAGATCTTATTACAGAGAATTTGTATTATGGTCGTGTTTGAAATAGTTGTGTGCATAAGTCATATGTAGTCAAATCAACCCATCTATAAACAAGCGACCTATAACTGCACAATGTCCTGACCATGCTAAATAACTAGCAGCATGACTGCATGAGGATCACTTCAGAACTGTTCTCTGAAGAATGGGCATTTTAAGGTTGGATCTAAAAAGCTTCCCCAATAACACAAGTGCTTCTGCTTGGTTGAAATTAACATACATTTGAACCCTGTACCGAGTTGGATCTTCCCTATGAACTGTTACAATACAACCATCCCACCATTTCACAAAATACAAGAGTGACAAAGAGAAATAAACTTAGAAATCGATCACACTCAGCAACAAATATTAGTCTAATTACATCTAAAAAGAAGTGGAAAAAGGACGATGATAACAGATTACAATGCATAGTCAAAAATTAGACAACCAGCTGATAGTCGGTATGCTGGATGCTTGTATACAGTCCATAGCAAGATTTAGTGCTTGCTGAGGAATAGGTCACGAGAATGGAGCCAAACCCCTACTCATTTGATCACAATCTCTCCAACATTTCAATCATACATGGTAGGAATCCTGCCTGGGAACAAAGCTTGATTAATCAGAAGTGTAAGCCTAAAGTTGAGCACGCAGCAGTGAGGCAGAGGATCATCCCTCAATGATTAGGCTGCCCTTCTTTCACTCATGTCAAGAAGTTTTCTTTGAACCCACACGCTCCAACCGTTTAAATACTGGGGAGTATGTGTGGTGGCGGATAATACTGATAAGGACGAAAGTATTAACAGCCAAGAAGAATAAACTCGCCAACCACAGCTGAATGAAGACATGCTTGCCTTTGAATTCAAGCAGATAACCCCAAATTAACCAATGCGTTTGAGCTCCCATCCACAAAAAATTGCAGGCCAAGCCTTTCCATTTAAGTTTCATACTGCACCATGGCAGAATCAGAGGCAACAGACAGAAGAACCACACAAAGTACTGCGCTGTTATGACCTGTCAAAGGAAATTACTTATAAATGACATTATTTATAGAGGTAGATAGCGAAGTCTTCTGTTAAGGAATGATAACCAACTGGAACTTAAAGAACGCAAATAATAAGACAGCTTCATTTAGGATCCAAATTGGAAATTGAGCAGGACAGAACATTATAATCTTGGTTCACAAACCTTATTGAATGCTACAAATGCTAGCGTCTGCACAAAGAAACAGAATGGCAAATCCTGTGCAAAGCGGAATATGAGAACCAGCTGCACTATAATTTGAGGCAGAAAAGAGATGAGCTTTTCTAAGGCTGAAAACTCATGTTCGTACTGGAGATAAATGTGGTAAAAATAAATAGAAAAGTTATGCCTAGGATCTGTGCGAGTAAGGTGGTATAGCAGCGCCTCATGCAAGAACTCCCATCCATATAAATAGAAGAAAAACCCAGTGCAACAGAAGAACACAGCCCCAGAAACCAGCCCGAACATAAGTCTCCTTACTGTAACCAGTCTTGTCAAAGAGACCCACGTATGATGTGGATCACCACCTTTTGTGCTACTTGACTTGAAGGCTGACTTGATTCTACTAGAACTCCAATCTATTACAGCAGGCTTCTTACCAGACTGGAAGTAGAGAGGATCAAGAACTAAGATAATAGGAAGTGCATAAATTATAGGATATATTCTCAAGTGAACAACCAGGCCATACCAAACAGCAGCTTGCAATAGATTACCTGTAAACCAGAAAACAGCATGACAGTAAGAAAGTTAAAAGGTACTAACCGCGATCCCAAATCCAAAACCTGAAAAAGAGTACAGGCAAGACAGTCCTTTGTTTCTTTGAAATTTCAGATTGAAGTACATCACATTTTTCAGCTATTTAACTTTCCATTCCAGCCTTTTCACAGTTGAACTTCAACAAGGTTCTCATTACAATGTATCATCAACAAAAGTAGAACTTTTACTAATTCAAATGAGCATGCTTCACCCTCTCAAGCAATAAAAAAGATAAATAATATTTCCTTTTATATTATCAGTGGACTGTAAAGTTCATGCTTTTTCTTGAAAGTATATCAATAATAAGAAGCATGTGTTTGTACCACGATTATTAGATGCAGTATGCAATGTCAAAATTGGAACTTTCCTTCAAAGACTTCGAATATCCCTTCCTTGATATACCTTTTAAGCCTTCGAATGCCACTTTCTTTTCTTTTAGATTATGTTGAACTTTGATGGAAAGCAGGTTTATGTAAGATGATGGGTATGAACACAATAAAAAGCATAAATCCTGATTAACAGCGTACTGACATTTCAGAAACCTCAGAGACGCAATTGATTTGAGAAGTTAATGCAAAGACAGAGAAAGCTTACCATTCATGAGACAAACGATTATCCATAAAACCATGGCACAAACTACAGGCTCACAGTTCCCACGGGTTCCAATTGTGAATGTAAATGGATTGACAAGCCATACCATTGCACAGTAGGTGCTTATACTCTGAGGCACTCCTCGTAGCTTCAAAATGGTGTGGATCAGCAAACCGACAAGTAAATCTGATTGCATATGAACACAGTATAAGTTTCACCTTAGTCTAATCTTCTAACATACACAATAGTGCAGACACCCTAGGTGATAAAAGAAATATGTACACGTAACAGAAAATAAGAAATGTAATTGATCTTTAAACTAAACACATGCCTCTGCGATCGTATTTTTGACATTATCCTTATTTCTAAATAGACAGGAACATTTTGCAGATACTCAAGAGGTGTCAAATGTTTTTACACAGTCCAGGGAAATCCTTGAGATCCTACAAACCTCGAATGGTTTGAAGTTTAAATCAACATGAAACAGAAACACACAGCTATAGTTTACAGCACCATTTGGTACAACCTTAAAATCAGGACTAGAACAAGTAACTAATTAATACCCAATACACAGAAAAAGAACATAGAAAAAGAAATAGGAAAGGAAAGAAGAAAACTAATGGGTATCAAATAAAACACAAAGTTGTATACCTCTAGCTATCACCATTGATTTACTCAATACTTTAATAAAAGACCACAAAGTTCAAAATGATATACCACATTCAAGAGCATTCAAACAACCCCACATCACTAAATATCAATTACAAAATTAAAAAAAAAATGTTAAGCCTAAGAAACTCAATGAAATCATGTACAAGAGTTAATGTTATTATACAAATTTGTTTCAATTTGCTCTATTGTGATCTAAAAATCACGGGTTCAAGTCGCAGAAATAATCTTTGCTTGCAAAAGTAAAAGGCTATGTACATCTACCACTCTCCAAACCCCACAATGATGGAAGCGTGGTGGGCTGGGTACGCCTATTTTATATATATATATATATATATATATATATAATTTGCCCAAAAAAAAAAAAAAAGAGTTAATCCCAACAATCCAACATTCATGAAAAAATTCATTCATTGAATAAAGTAGTATACCTGAAGCTGAGAAGATAAATTTTCCCCAGGAGTGATGAATAATTGAATTAGGAATGAGGAGAAATGCGATCAAAGGTGAATATCGATAAGTAGATCTTTGGTAAGGGGATTTTCCAGATGCCATCAAAGAAGCAGCATCAGAAAATACAAGATAGTCAACATCTGTGTATCTAACCTCCATGTGAGTGTCTTGCCATTCTCCGTAGATGATTAAGAACAGACGAAGAAATGCAGAGAACACGAGCAGATTGCGAAAACTAATGTTTTTCATCGCCGACATGAAGAATTTGAAAGATCACTAACTGAGCGCCTTCAATCTTGTAAACTAACTAGCGATAATCCGTGCCTGAAGATAATGTACAATTCAAAAAATTGAACATTAATCGTGGACACAAAAATTTCAAGTATTGAATATAGATACGCACTAAGATCAAAGTGTAAACTACATCCTTAAGACACTGGCACTGTAATGAAAAAAAATTACAAATCAAAAATCAGAAAAAGAAGAATTAATTGGTGGCATCATTTATACAGATTCATGGAATAACTGTAAAAATCATCAACATGAGAAATCAAACAAAATTAACAAACAATTGAAACAATTGAAATTTCTTCAAATCACATATCAAATATAAATAAGCTATTAGTTACAACAAATCCACAATGTAGTACTCCATCACTTTATCTGTCAATCCAATTACCTATTCAAAGGAAAAGAACCCAACACAAATTCTAACTTATAATCCCATAGAGAGTTCACAATATTATGGAGAAGCGTCAAAATAAAAAAAAATAAAAACAATGTAGTATAAAAAAATACCTCCAAGAATTTCCCCCAATTTTGAGATTTTGTGCAAAAAATTGATAGCTTCCACCTTCAAAAGTAAACATAAAAGTTAGGTCTATCAATGATAAGAATCTCAATTTATATAATACAACACATTTGCCTACCAAAATAATTTGTTTGATGATGCTTGAGTTTGGGGGTCGACTCCTTTAATAGATATAACACAAATTATGAGAGGGACTTCAAATGCCTAAACTTCTTCAAGAAATAACTGAGTAAACAATAAGAATCTCGATAACAATTTTGTCCATTAATAACCCATGCTTAAAGCCACTTCAAAAAATCATTCCATTTGAAATAGTTTTTCTTTCATTTGTTTTAATTAAAGAAATTGAAATCAATATAACCCTTGCTATTTTTTTTTTAAATTCGCAAAATTTACTCTAAAAAAAAGAACCAAAGAAAATCTCAACCAGCCTACAGATATCTAATTATATGTATCATTGCCCAACACAAACCATTGCATTGTCCAATACAAACTATTGCATAACCAAACACAAACTATTATACTTACTAATATCAACACATTCCTCATATAGCATTACAATTTGAATCCAACAAATATTAGCGTAATGATTATCAATCCACCAATTAAGACATTTTATCAAACACGTATTATACTAACAAATATCAATCCACTACATAGAAATTTGGCCCACCAACCCATATTTATCAAAGCCTTGCTCTTGATCATGGATTGAATGTCATACCCGTTTTCCACACTCACCAAATGCCAGATAATGCTTATACACAAAATGAAGTGTAAAAAAACCACCAAGTATTATTGCAAAGCTCATCATTTAATGTAACAAAACACATGTAAACAAACTAAATTTTATCAAAATCCAAATATACCAACAAAAAAAAAGAGATAAAAATTGAGTCGAAAAGCACCAAGCTAGTGGATCAAAACTAAATTAATAAGATATCAATTAAGAATGATCAAAGTAAAGTACAACTACTGTAGAAAGTAGTATTTCCCAAATATTCCAAGCAATCAAAGCTTTTCTAATGTACACATTAGGTATATTTATTTTCAAGTATAACACAATCGTATGACATAATTATTGCACGAAACATTCTATTCCTACTGGGTATGAAAAGCTTGTACCATGGAGTAAAAACCAAACGTAATGAAATCTCACCCATGAATGTAACTTCTCAACTCATCAACTAAAATCCAATTCCTTCCATAGCCAAAAGTATGAACTTCATTTGGTTTTAAGTCTCCCTATGAATGGCCAAAGCAATTCAAAGTTAACATACCAGTAGTAAGTTTCTTCGAAATTTTGAAACAAAACCAAAAAAAATCAATTTTTAATAGCAAGTGAAAGGTAGATATTTGAATTGCAACTATCTATTAGTAATAGTGGGAAATAATCTATTTGGAGAGCAAGAGAGGCCATACAATCATAATTCAAATAATTAAGTCAACCCAATTCAAAAAATATCACAATCATTATGCCTAACATAGTCTACTCAAAATCCAATTGCACAAATTACTTGAAAAATAACGATTCACACTATTTTAAAGCCCTACATATTCAACTGCCAAAAAAAATTAATTTCAAACCCACATTGACAGATCATATCAAAGAGTAAGGTTTTTTTTTTTTATCAAGATCAAAGAGTAAGATTACTTATTAATTTCTATGTTGGAGTTTTTGACGAGTACCCCAACAGGTATTGGAGTAAAAATAATTTTATCGCAACCCATATTTTATACACAACATGCATAAATCATGTGAGTGTCTGTTGTGCTTAAAATAAGGAAGCAAGAAGCATTAAAGCACAGAAAATGAAAAATGGACTTTTTTTCTTCACTCTGACATTTCATCAACCACTTAGAACACAAGGCATTGATTTTTGGTTTCAGTCTTTGTCAAGGGCCTTTTTTCTTCTCTTTGCCATTTTGTCAACCACATAGTATGCATAAAAAGTAAGGGGTGGAGGCATTAATACCAAGGACTTGAACATTTGATAACTAATAACGACAAACTCAAGAAAGTAGTCATGAGGAGATCAATCAATACATTTCTCCAATATTATTCATTCTTCACCACCACCCTATAAAAATTAAAACCACAAAATAATGAAATGTATTCTATGAAAATAAAACCACCATTCTACTTTTTCAAAAAAAAAAAAAACTATGAAAATAAAAATTCAAAACCTTTGAATGCACGCATACTTCAGAAGTTTCAATAAATGAGTTTATGAAAGTTATGAAAAACCCTTAAAAAAATAGCATCTCAATAAATGAGTATGTATACATAGGGAATTAGAGAAGAGCAAAATCGTATAGGGTTTGAATTTGAGGGTGAGAGTTTTCACCAAATATTTCTAAAATACTATAGAACATAGGTAGCTTCAAAAAAGCATTTAAATGATTAAGGTCCCAGCAAATTTTCGAGACAACCTCAATTAACATTTGAAAAATCAATTTATTGCACACCATCATTTCCAAATAAAATGCAACTAAGTAACCTATTTGGCCTAACAATGAAACTAAGTAAGGGGGTTTGTGTGTGAGTGTAGTGGGGGCAAAGAGGGTAAGAGTTTGTAGATGGGTTTTGTGTGTGTGTGTGTGTGTTTTTTTTTTTGGGGGGGGCCCAGTAGAGGGAATAAGGGAAATGGAGGGGGTTTCTGCACACACGCGTGTGTGTGTGCATGAGAGGGAAGGGAAGGAGAAGTAGAGAGGACGAGGGAAGGGGTTTTTGCATATATGACATGTGAGAGTTTGTTTCTGCATATGTGTGTAAAAATGCAATACAAATTCTTGAAGTAAAACAAAATAACACATTTTTAGTTTCACATAATCAATTTTCTCCATTGAAAACAAAATTCTATAATCCTAATTTCCACTACCCAACCCTTAAAATTGGCACCTAATTAAAGTTTTTGATTCTCCAAGAAAAACAACAAATAGAAATAAAAATTCTAACAATCAAGAAAACTTTCAACTCTACTTAATGCACCCATATAACATGAAGCAACTAAAACTTTTGGACTTTCATAGCGATCGTAACAAAAACTTGGGCAAAAGAACTCTGTTTATAAATAAAGCATCACAATACAATTCAAACCTTTAAGATCACACTCCAATCGGTAGAGTACCCATATCAAAAACTATTTATAAGAAACAATCATGGGGCAAACAATGACTATAAACTTAACTACCGGCCATATCTCAAGCATGTGTGCATGTTTATGGTCAAAGTTTTAGTTTCATTACTACTTATATGGAAATCTTTTAAAATCATAATATAAAGCACGTCAGGTTATGGAATAGGCACCTTTGAAAAAAAAATAGAACACAGACCATTTTCTGTTCAAATAAAGATTAAATCAAATTGTCATGTGATTCTATATACGATTCATGTAGTAATTTTCACTAAACATAGTTCAATATACATATAGACGTATAGCGACCATTTTGGTGAGTTCAAATATGAGGCAAGCCTTGATTTTATTCATGCCCCAAAACACCTTCAAAATCATGAAAGAGACGAACCACAACTTCACATAGAGCACGCTTTTGGGGCAATCGCGTATACACCATTTATATATCACACTACATAACAACAACATAATGATAATAAAATAACTCCCTCTTTGTTGGGATTTGTGGTAATTAATGTGTTGCTTGTTGTGAATCTTGATCAAACAAATATGAAATTTTTGGATTACACAAACCCGCAAAATCCCAAAAGCTCAAGACTAAAAACATAAAAATAAACTGGATAGATGGAAAATGAAATTGAAAAATATAGACAGAAAAATAAAAATTAAAGAGATGAGAAGCAATAAAATAATAGATAAATCCATCTCATCGAAGCAATACTACAAACACATGGTGTTAGATGGTCGTGGGCGAGTTACCGCTAAGGATGGAGGTTTAATAATGGTAATCTCATGCCCGACTAAAGAACACCAAAATTCACAATTAAACGGAATCAATTCAATTTCGCAAAAAGTTAAACAAAGAGTCATAAGCAAACATTTAATTTCATATTGTAGTGACAGCAATTTGAATTACAATCCAAATCAAAACTATCATTTAACGGTTTCATCTTCTAAAAATCCAAAAATATAAAAAAGATAGACCTATTGAGGCCCATTATAGACAGGATTTGCAGAGAGCAAAACTTGTGGATCTTTGTGTAATCTAGCCTCCAAGTCAATTGAAACAAAAGATAATTCATTGCTATACATAGGAGCAACATCACTAGAATAATACAATGATTCTGAGGCTTGGACAAACTCCAGGGAGATTTATCCGAGAGCAAGTGGCATCATCACTATACCATAAAATAATAATTAAAACTACTCTTAAAGCTCCTCCAAACAAATTTTATCAACCACCACCAACAAATCATTAAAGAATTAGGAACCCATTATAGAACAGGTTTAACAATTTCACCACTTATAAA